GAAGGAAGGAAGGAAGGAAGGAAGGAAGGAAGGAAGGAAGAAAGGAAGGAAGGAAGGAAAGAAGCCAGAAGTGGGGTTGTAGCTCAAGTGGTATAGTGCTAGTCATGAGCAAAAAAGCTCAGGGACAGCTGAGGCCCTGAGTACAAGCCCTAGTACTGGCACCAAAAAAAAAAAAAAAAAGAATAAAGTAAAATTTCAGTTTACTTTGAATGAGAGTAGGAATAATAAATCAGAGTCTTTAAACTATTTAGCAAGGTTATTTTAACTTTTAGGTTTATGAAGCAAAAACTGCACATTTCACCCAAGTCTAATATGTATCGGAGGACCTGGTGTTGTGAACAGTACCTGCGAATTGCTATAGTCATGGCTTCAGAAGATGTAGCACATGGACAGATGGCCTCAGGTTTCAGTCCATGGCTTTGGAACAGACTCAGGAAGGCATCACAGGATGACACAGACCCTAAGGAGTTGGAATAGATCAATGTGAAAGCTGAAACCATAATTTTCATCACTGCTGGAAACTGGTAAGGGGCAGCGGGAGGCTGGCATGACTGTTTGTCAGGGGAACTCAAGTGGTACCACATTCATTCCACGCCAATAGCCTACTGTGCCTATGAGGTGGCTTGCTACATTTTGAAGATGAGATGAATGGATGTTCAGCCAGCCCACGAAAGGTCACTGACATTATTTAAAGGTATAACTTGGAATAAAGCTATGGTTACCAGACTGAGCGATCAATATCAGAGGCAACACTACAGGCAATCTCCAGCCACTTTGTAATTCAGCAATCCTTCCTGCAGTGATTGCTGTAGCAGCCTAGTGAAATCTAGGCTTAGTTCCACCTTTTGTGTGGTACTTTCTGATTTTTCTTATTAAGGTGAATCCTGTGTCCACTTTAGATAAAGAACATAGTATCTAATTGTCTACCTGATTCTAGGATTTTTGTGCTTATATAGAAAAGCAGATAACACAGAAAGATCTCTAGATTTTTTTTTTCTATCTAGGGGAATTTACATAAAACTCCTACCCTTGTTTGCCTCAAGTCATCTGTATCTGGTCTTTTTATCTAAGGATTGCAAACAGTCATGTGACCTAAAGAGGATATAAATAAGCAAAAAGAATTGTTTTATAAACTTTATACATTGCTGGGAATGGTGATGCATGCCTGTAATTTTAGGACTCAGGAGGTTGAGACAAGAGGACTGTATCAGTTCCAGGACTCTTATCCCAAGGGGAGAAAAAGAACCAAAAATAAAAAATGGCTTACAGATCCTTCAAGATATATTTGGCAAGGAATAAGAATAAAGTGTTGGTTCCTTGAAAACACGATACTAAGGGCTGGGAAGGTGGCTCAGTGGTAGAGTGCTTGCCTTGCATGCCTGAGGCCCTGGGTTCGATTCCTCAGCACCACATAAGCAAAAAGAAAAAAAGCCGGAAGTGGCGCTGTGGCTCAAGTGGTAGAGCGCTAGCCTTGAGCTGAAGAGCTGAGGGAAAGTGCTCAGGCCCAGAGTTCAGGCCCCACGACCGGACCCAAAAAAAAAAAAAAAATCCAAAGTACGCTAATCTATAGAGATAGGAAATAGATTCATGACTGCCTAAAGCCAGGGGACAATATGGAGAAGTGAGAGTGACTGACAATGGGCATATGATTTCTTTTTAGGGTAATACAAAAATATTTTAAAATTGTAAATGGATAAGTTTTTTTTTTTTTTTTTGGTGTGTGTGTGGGGGGGGAGGTTGGTTGCAGAGCTTGAACTCAGTGCCTGGGCACTATTCCTATACTCTTTTTGCTCAAGGCTAGCACTCTACAACTTTGAGCCACAGCTGCACTTTCAGTTTTCTAGTGGTTAACTGGAGATAAGAGTCTCGTGGACTTTCCTGCCTGGGCTGGCTTTGAACAGTGATCCTCAGATCTCAGCCTTCTGAGTAGATAGGATGTTAGGCGTGATCCACCAGCACCAGGCAAAATGGGTAAGTTTTATGATATGTGAATTATCTATCAACACAGATGTTTAAAAAGAAACAACAGAAAAAGGACAAAAGACCTAAAGCACCAAACAAAAGGATATTCTGGCTCCACACTGCATAAATACTCACAAGGGTTTGCTCCATCAGTTACAATCAACATTCGGAGAGAGCTCAGGCTCACGTCCCGCTGGTCCCGATGAGCCATCATGGCCCAGTGCAGATCCCGACATTTCACTAATGCTACTTTGGCTGTAAGTTCAAGGGGGACAAAGTTAACATACATCCATATAAATACACGTAAGACACATGTATGCTAAATCTGGTCAGTGTTTAATATTCTGAGATTGTCCTCAGAGGAAGAAAGCACCTCAGACAACTGACCGGGGGACTGGGAAGGTGGCTCAGTGGTAGAGTGCTTGCCTTGCATGCATGAGGCCCTGGGTTTGATTCCTCAGCACCACATAAGCAGAAAGAAAAAAAGCTGGAAGTGGCGTTGTGGCTCAAGTGGTAGAGCACTAGCCTTGAGCTGAAGAGCTGAGGGACAGCGCCCAGGCCCAGAGTTTAGGCCCCACGACCGCACCCAAAAAAAATTAAAAAAAAAAAAAGTACTTTTCTATAAAAGGCATTATCTATAACTTGCTTTTTAAAAAATATCTAATACTTGCTTTTTTCCATTATTGAGACAAATCTATGTACCTTTTTGAATGGCTATACAGTATCCATAACTATTATCATAATCTGTTTAGGCATTTCCCTCTTAGTGACAATTTTTTACTATTACAAACAGTATTTGAAGGAATTTGTCTGTACTCTTTTCCTTGGGCTCATATACAAGCATTTCTCTAGGGCAGACAGAGAAAAACTAGCAATGCTAGGTTCCAGGGCAGAAACATTTAAGTGTTAAAGGAAATGCCAACTGCTCTCCAACTACCCAGTGCTCTCAACAGGCTCAGACTTTCCAAAAATGTTGCAACTTTCCTGCAAAGGGGTGAGCATTACAAAGTGAGAAACCAGTTTCCCTATTTTTCACAGGTGGCCTGCATGACCTGGTGTATGTTTGGTTAGACAAAGCTAAGACAGTTGTCAGTTATGAAATTTGGTATCATTCTGCCACCCAAATGAAACATATACAGGCTATTTTTACCCACAAAGACTAGCCTACTAGAATAAACAAGCCTGGTAATATTTAGATTGGCCATGCCTGGCACCAGCACCCACACTTGTTATCCTAGCTATTGAGGAGACTGAGATCTGATGATCAAAGCCAGTCTGGGCAGGAAAGTCCATGACACTCTTTATCTCCAATAAACTACTCAGAAAAAGATGGAAGTGGTGCTGTGGCCCAAGTGGTAGAGTGCTAGCCTTGAGCTCAGAGAGGCTCAGGGACAGAGCCCAGGCCCTGAGTTCAATCCCCATGACCGGCAAAAAACTCCACAAAACAAAAACAAAAACAAAAACAAGAACAGACTAGACACTATGCTCATCATATAAGTGGTTCAAAGACATCCAGATGGGCTGGGAAGGTGGCTCAGTGGTAGAGCGCTTGCCTTGCATGCCTGAGAGGCCCTGGGTTCGATTCCTCAGCACCACATAAGCAAAAAGAAAAAAGCTGGAAGTGGCGCTGTGGCTCAAGTGGTAGAGTGCTAGCCTTGAGCTGAAGAGCTGAGGGATAGCGCCCAGGCCCAGAGTTCAAGCCCCATGACCGGACCCCCCCCCCAAAAAAGGACATCCAGATGTCCTTTTCCCTTTTGGTTTCAAGAAAAAGAGTGCTTATAGCTAACTCTTCTATCTTTTTTTTTTTTTTTTGGTCGGCCCTGGGTGCTGTCCCTTAACTCTTCAGCTCAAGGCTAGTGCTCTACCACTTGTGCCACAGCGCCACTTCCAGCTTTTTCTGCTTATGTGGTACTAAGGAATCAAACCCAGGGCCTCATGCATGCAAGGCAAGCACTCTACCACTGAGCCACCTTCCAAGCCCCTAATTCTTCTATCTTGTACTTTGTCATATTACAGAGAAGATTCTCAATGCCTTGCAAGTTTTTATTTCATTTTTTAAAACTTCTGATGAAAAAGAAAATATCTGGACATTAAATATACTCAAGAATATAGCTCTTCCTCCTCTTTTTTCTACTCTGTGACTCCTGAAGTATTTAAGAAAATTGGTCCTTTTCAACTCTTAGATCCTGTATTTCCTCAACTGTACATTATACTTGCAGCTTTCCCATACAAAATGTCTCATTTCTCTACTCTTACACTCCAAATTTCAGTATGGTTCAAGCTCATTCATTTTCCAAAAACCAACTGAGCTGTCACCTGTCATTTCTTTCAGAAAAGTTGCTTTGATACCAGAGCATTGATATGTTGTAATGAAAGCACCCTTTTTCTAATACTCGTAGGAAGCATGTTGCCTATTCCTCCATTATAGTACCTATCTTCATCTACCTTGTCATTCTTTCCTTTAGCTGCAAGCATGTAGCATTTGCATGCCAGTTACCCAATACATTTTGTCCAAGAGAAATGTGAGATGGTCTCTAGAAGAATATTATCAATATTTTGGGGTTTTCAAGTTCAATCAATTACTGGGAGATACACTAATAACAAATACACTGACTTAATCTTAAGCACAATCGATACTAAAGACCTTAATTCTGAATAGCTTACCGCAAACATGCCATGCCACAGGCCAGCATCCTTCTTAAAGTCTAAAACATTCACTACTGTTTCTCCTAAAATAGGAAAAAACAAAAGGAAATCATCATTAGCAAGAATAATCACATTGCCAACTCTAGTAAGAAACTGATTTGGTGCTTTCAGAAAAATGATTAAGAGCTCTCAAATAGGGTTTTGTGGTTAAGAACTTCTTCAGGGGCTGGGAATGTGTCTTTAGTGGTGGAGCACTTGCCTAACATGCATGAAGCCCTGGGTTTGATTCCTCAATACCACATAAACAGACAAAGCCAGAAGTGGCCCTGTGGCTCAAGTGGTAGGTAAAATGCTAGCCTTGAGCAAAAGAAGCTCAGGGATAGTGCCCTGGCCCTGAGTTCAAGCCCAGGACACAAAAGAAAAAAATAATTACGGTTCTTCAAAGAAAGCATATAACTAATATGTTGTTTCTACACATAGATATTCAAAATAGCAAAAATTTGTATACACAGCTCTGTATCTATATTTTTTGCATTTTATAATATAGCAAAACTAATTCTCTACTTCATTAATATTTTAGTGCCTCAGGGCATAATCTTTTATATGAATATATTGTAATTAGTCCTTCTATTTTGGGGAATTTTGATTTCATATATACTATATAAACACACACATGCTCACACACACGCACATTCTAAACCAGTCAAGTATGCTATTCTGAAATACATATTAACTGTTTTATTTTGCAAAGGGAAAATAAAATGCTAAAAAAACCAAAATGTTGCAAAGAACATTATAAGTCTGTTGGTTCACTCTTGTAATTCCAGCAGTTGTGGGACTGAGGCAGGAGGCCCTGAAGTTTAAGGCCAGATTGGCTATGTAGCAAACTGACGGCCAAACTGGGCTATATAGCCAGACCCTATCTCAAAACAAAAAACAAAAATCCACAGCCGTTATCCAACATGTATCAACAGATCTGAAGTTTGACAGTACAGAATACTTTTCTTGTGTTTTCATTTATACTTTTTGACAGTGATTTTTCCCCCCAGGAGAACAAGGTCTTGGTATATAGTGCAGGTACACCTCAAACTCAAGATTCCTCAAAAATCTGGGAACTAAAATCGAGATTATAGCTACCAGGCATCTGGTAGCTGAATTTCTTTGACTCTAAGTATATAGCAGGTAGCTCTCTCTATATATAAAGATGGAGCTACCTAAGATCCCACAGCTAATAAACACATGGTTTTCATTAGAGTTTTCTATTTCTGTACTGCAGAAATCATGCTTTACATATTTAGTTTGCCTAGAGTTCAGTTCCTTTAAATTACAGCATACTTCTGAAAAATGAAGAAAACAAAAGCAAGCCAAGAATGTGTCTTGGAACACTTCCCTCTGAATTTGGTCACTAAATGGAACCCAATCACTGAGCATTCTGCTCACAGTCACACGCATCGGAGGCTAACAATGAGGGCAGTCACGGGATGAGGTCTGACCTTCAGAATAATTGCAGGCCTGTGACAGAGCTTGGCAGTGAGACAGCATTGCAAGCCGGGACACTGTAACTCCCATTACACTCCCTTCTTTGCTTGTTTTATACTAGAAAAATAAAACAAAAAAAAGTAAGAAAGACAATAAATGAGTTATTTCAAATGACAAACTTAGAATCCAGAAATACAACTTCAGATATACCATTAGAGTAGGCTGGATTTTACATGTTAACTATCAATAGCTAAAAGCTATGTACTAGGATTCTGATCTACAATCACACAGAAGTAAGGCCAGAGGACAACAAAGCTCAACAAAAGAATAAGTAAAAAAGACTAAAGTTTAGTCTTCAGTGTGAAACTCCTGCTAAAAAGGCTATAACAAGTGACTTGAGCTGCATTAATATTGGAAGGTCATTCCTTGATATACAAGTGACTGGCCCCCTAATAGCATAATCTGCTGTTTTTTTTTATTTTTTTTTATTTTTTTGGGTCCGGTCATGGGGCCTGAACTCTGGGCCTGGGCGCTGTCCCTTAGCTCTTCAGCTCAAGGCTAGCACTCTACCACTTGAGCCACAGTGCCACTTCTGGCTTTTTTCTTATGTGGTGCTGAGGAATCGAACCCAGGGCCTCGAGCATGCAAGGCAAGTGCTCTACCACTGAGCCACCTTCCCAGCCCTTCTTTTTTGTTTTTTAAACCATAGTATTTGCATATAACCTACATACATCTTCCTTTAGACTTTCAACCATCTTTCAATTACTTATATAACTAGTGTGATGTTGGTGCTATGTAAATGATTGTAATCATGCTGCACTGTTGAGAGAATAAATAACCAAAAAAAGGGGCTGGGAAGGTGGCTCAGTGGTAGAGCACTTGCCTTGCATGCATGAAGCACTGGGCTGGATTCCTCAGCATCGCATAAGCAGAAAAAGCCGGAAGTGGCACTGTGGCTCAAGTGGTAGAGCGCTAGCCTTGAGCCGAAGAGCTGAGGGGCAGTGCCCAGGCCCAGAGTTTAGGCCCCATGACCCCCCCCACAAAAAAAAAAAACCAACAAAACCTGTACAGGCTCAATGATATTTAGTAGTATTTCTGAACTGCAGTTGGCTTATTCCTCAGATGTGTTTGGAGACTATACATGCCCAGCAAAACACTACAGAATTAAAGGAGTGTGATGAGGTCCCTAAACCTGGAGGGCTGACGTTTACCTATCATGAACAAGGGTCCTGATTCAAAATCCAGTATCATTACCAAAACAATAAAGTATTTCCTGTCCATGAGGAGCACCTAGAGGAAGACCTAGAAATGAATGGTCTTTTCACTCCTACAAATCTTTCCACTTTGCTTTTATAGGTCATGTTCCATTTGAGTTGCTTTTTTTTTGTAACAAGATCACCAGCTTTTTGATAGTTAATTCAAAAGGAGATTTTGCATATTTTATCTAACCAGACTTTGCTGTAATATTTGATTACAGTTTTTTGCAATTTTCTCCTTCATTGGCTCCCCCACCCCTCCCCTCTCAGCCCTGGGGCTTAAACTCACAATGTGGCCACTGTCCCTGAGGTTCTTTGGGCTCAAAGCAAGAGCTCTCCCACTTGAGTCACAGTGCCACTTCTGGCTTTTTCTGAGTAGTTTTTTTGGAAATAAGAGATTCAAGGGCTTTCCTGTCCAGGCTGGTTTCGAACCACAATTCTCAAATTATAGTCTCCTGAGTAGATAGAATTACAGGGGTGAGCCACTGGCATCTGGCTTATCATTGGCATTTTTTTTTTGGTCGGTCGTGGGGCTTGAACTCTGGGCTTGGGCGCTGTCCCTGTGCTCTTCAGCTCAAGGCAAGTGCTCTACCGCTTGACCCACAGCGCCACTTCCAGTTTTCTAGTGGTTTATTGGAGATAAGAGTCTGCCCGGGTTGACTTTGAATTGCAATCCTCGGATCTCAGCCTCCTGAGTAGCTAGGATTACAGGTGTGAGCCACCGGGTGCCCAGCTTATCATTGGCTTTTGTGATATCTCCTCTCTCCCAGTTTCTCTCGCTTTCTCTGTCTGTCTCCTTCTGTTGTTTCCTTAACCATCTCTGGTCATCCCTTAAATGTTGGTTCTGCTTTTCTTCCTCCTCCTCTACCTTTCTTCATCTGGGTACTGCATTTCTGACAACTTGCAGCTCTCTATCTCCTTCTCCTTCAGAGTTCAAACTCATGATACCATGTTTAGCCAGAATGTACCATGTCCTGTGAAACCTAATGTACCCAGTATTCTTCATCATCTACAGCTCTGCCCAAGAAAACACATCTTGCTGTATGTTCTGGGTTAGTATAAAGGATGCTGCCATCAGTCTAGCAACACAAATCAGAAATTCAAGTTTTAGTTTTGTTGTTGTTGTTGTTGTTGGGGATGGGGTAGTCCTAGGATTTGAACTCAGGACCCTAGGTATGTATTCTACCATAAATCATTCCTTTTTTTTGGGGGGGGTCCGGTTGTGGGGCCTGAACTCTGGGCCTGGGCACTGTCCCTCAGCTCTTCAGCTCAACACTAGCACTCTACCACTTGAGCCATAGTACCACTTCCGGGTTTTTTCTTTTTGCTTATGTGGTGCTGAGGAATCGAACCCAGGTCCTCAGGCATGCAAGGCAAGTGCTCTACCACTGAGCCACCTTCCCAGCCCCCCACAAATCCTTCTTATAACTCAAGTTTTTCTTGACTTTTCCCTACCATTAGAGTCATTAAATCCTGTCTATTCTATTTTCAACCCCATCCACTTCCTTCTCTTCCCACAGGTTAAGTTGCTTGGGTAACTGTAAAAGCTGGTCTTCTTTTTATAAACAGCTAATTTATATGAATACCTTTTTTTGCAATTTTTTTTTTTTGGTCGGTCATGGGGCCTGAACTCTCTGGACTTGGGCGCTGTCCCTCAGCTCTTCAGTTCAAGGCTAGTGCTCTACCACTTGAGCCACAGCGCCACTTCCTGCCTTTTCTGCTTATGTGGTGCTGAGGAATTGAGCCCAGGGCCTCATGAATTCAAGGCAAGCATTCTTCTACTGAGCCACCTACCCAGCCCTGTAATTTTTTTTATTGTGATTACATAAATTTCACAAATTGGGGATAGTGATACTTAAAGTCACAAACACATTCAAACCTTCATTGGGCAAATTGTCTTTATTGTGGTCTATAAAGTTTATGAGTTATATAAATCTTTTTTATAAAAAATTATTCTTAGCTGACTGCTGATGGCTTACTCTTATAATGCAGAGGCTAGAGATTGAAGGATTGCAGTTCAAAGCTAGCCTGAGCAGGAAAGTCTGTGAGACCTTTTTCTCCAATTAACTACCAAAGAGCCAGAAGTGGAGCTGTGGCTTAAGCAGTAAAGTGCTAGCCTTGAGCAAAAAAGCTGAGGGACAGTGCCCAGCCCTGAATTCTTGCCCCAGAATTGGCACACATCCCCCAAAAATAATCTTGTCACTCCCCTGCTTACAATCCTTCAAAGGTTCCCTTTTACTCACTGGGTACATTAACTGGCTAGCAGAATCCTGTTCATAGTAGCAGGATGTAAAGGGCCACATAAAAAGGATGAAGCAATGGAGAAGAGTGAAAGGAAAGAACAACAAGATGCAAGAATGAGAGAATGCAGTTCAGGAAATTGGTAGACTCAGATATTAAGAACAGGATGATGAAACATGTCAGCAATGAGAGATGACATAGACTGAAAGATGATCACTAAATCTGTGCTGTATTTAATTGCTTACTTGTCTTTTAAACATTCTCAGATATCTTCTATCTTTCATAATCACCACCTCTCAAAACTACTGCCTATTCCTTTCTTTTTAGAGCCCAAGTTATTTGAAGTTATAGATACTTCCTATCATAACAGAGTTCATGGTTGCTCATTTTTCCTCCTCAAACTTTTTTTTTAACTTGGTTGTTCACTCATTAATTGAGTAAACAGCTGGTGAGCATATGTTTCAAATGTTATGCAGAAGGGCAAAGGGCCTATCTTCAGAGTCAGAGAACCTGAATTTGAGCCCTTGCCCTACAATTTGTGAGTCGTGTGACTTTTAACTTGTTTTTCTAAACTCATTTACAGAGCATATTTAGTGGCCCAAACCTCCCAGTTCTTGTGAGGACTAAATGTGGTATTATACTGAAAGCATTTAAAGGGAATACTGGGAGCTGGGTACTGATGGCTCATGCCTGCAATCCTATTCAGGAGGCTGAGCTCTTAGGGTCACGGTTCAAAACCAGCCTGGGCAGGAAATTCTGAGAGACTCTTATCTCCATAAACAACTCAAAAAAGCCAGAGGTGGCACTGTGGCTCAAGTGGTATAGCATTTGCCTTGAGCGAAAGAAGCTTAGGGCCTATGCCCAGGCCCAGAGTTCAAGCCTTAGGACCAACAAAAAAAGAAGAAGAAGAAGAAAAAGAAAAAAGTAAATAAAGGGAGTACTTTGTACACAGAAAGACCTGATTCCATAACCAGATCATATTGCCAATCAAGTTTATATACTGCCCTTCAATACCAAACTTCCCAACTGTTTCTTCCTGCTCTTTATTTTCCATCTGTTCAACTTATTCTTTTCAAGCACAACTACTTTCCTTCCTCATTTCTCTATTCCCTTATCCTCAATACCCTTGTAAGAGCAATATAGTCATTTCTCTAACAATAAGTCATTCCTTAAACCTTTGTATTTCTCTGAAGTCTTGTGACATTTTTACCTAAAGAATCAGTTTCCTTGCTATCTTTCTCTTGAATACTTATGATAAAAATAATTAGGATAGAAGGTCCACTCTGTAGGTCATAGGAAAGTCAGAAACCACGTGTGGACTCAGGACGCACCTCGATGTATGCTGGCTCTGTACCGGCAGGTGAGATGTGGGGTTGCCAATCTTTAGGTGGCTTTGAAAGGTACTTGGAATCTGTTACAACCCATTTGAGTCGAGGCCAACCTAAATCAAACCCAAAGTAACAATGAATTACGTAAGTTATCACAGAAGGAGACCACACAGGATTTGTCATTGTAAAACTCAGAAGAGCAAACAAAGATCTTTTTTTCTTTTGGTTGTGGGGCTTGAAAGCTGGGCCTGGGCACTGTCCCTGCGCTCTTCAGCTCAAGGTACGTGCTCTACCACTTGAGCCACAGTGCCACTTTCTGGTGGTTAATTGAAGATAATTGTCTCATGGACTTTCCTGACCAGGCTGGCTTTGAACCTTAATCCTCAGATCTCAGCCTCCTGAGTAGCTAGGATTACAGGTGTAATCTTTGCACGTGGCTTACACAGATCATTTTATAATCAATAAGGTACTTTAAAATTTTGTTAGGTTTATTGAAAAATCACCAGATAATTATACCTTCTTTCAAAAAGCTGCACACCAGTGGCTCAAGCCTATAATCCTAACTACTCAGGAGGCTGAGAGCTGAGGATCACAGTTTAAAGACAGGGCAGGAAAGTCAGCGAGACTCTTATCTCCAATTAACCATTAGAAAACAGGAAGTAGAACTGTGGCTCAAAGTGGTGCAGTGCTAACCTAGAGTTAAAGAGCTCAGAGACAGTATCCAGGCCCTAAACTCAAGCCCCACAGATGACAGAAAAAAAGTACATTCTAACTCCAGGCTTTGACATTGCCTCAATAACTGAGAGACCCATTTGGCAGTGGAAGTTCACAGAAGTTAATAGTCTAACCTCTTGTATAGGAAGCACTAGTTTTTATTGTAAAATGGTAGTAGCTTTATCTAACCATTAGCATAATGTTTAAGATTGTCAGCTATGGAAGCAGACACAGTGGCTGCTCTGTCACATATTTCTTGGGACTTTGGGCACATTATTTAAACCTCTTTCCTCCCTCTCCCACCCCCATCCCCACCCCCTCCCCCAGTTTCCTTACCTATAAAAGGGAGAAAACCAGCTGGGCACTGGTAGCTCATGTCTGTAATTTACCACCAAAAAGCTGCAAGTAGAGCTGTGGCTCAAGTGGTAAAGTGCTAGCCTTGAGCAAATAATCTCAGTGGCACTACCTGAGTTCAAGCCCTAGGACAGGCATACAGAGAAAAGGGATAATAACCATGGTATTTACTTTATAAGAATGTAAGCCACCAGTACCCAACTATATTCTTTTTCCTTCCTTCCTTCCTTCCTT